CTGGATCGTGACTCGTAGGGCCTGTGTGAGCTCCCTGTCGGTTCCGTCTGCTAGCTTTACCTGTGTCCGTACGGCGCGGTGAGTCCTTCCATCGTCGAGTTTTCTCGCCAGGCGCTCGCTTATAAAGCTATGCGAGGCCCCCGTATCCAAGGTGGCGGTGAGCGGGCGTCCCTCGACCGTGACCTGTGCGCGGATACGGTTCCGATCCTGTTGGATGGCGTTGCTTAATGGGTGCGGGAGTTTGGTGGGTTCCTCGGGTGACTCCCTGATACTCGAGGCCCTTGCCCGTTTCCCGGCGTCTGGTTCCTGCAGCACTCGATAGTGCGTATGCCCTGGCGACCGCAGTCCCAGCAGAACATGATTCTCTGGTTCCGGCATTCCGCGGCGTAGTGGCCGGCCTGGCCGCAGTTTCGGCAGGCGGTGCTGGGGTCGGTTGACCTGATGGGCGTGGCCCCTTGGTTGGAGTTTCCTCCGGTGCCTCGGCTGGCGGGCTCGTCGGTCGCGTCCCCAGGGCGTGGCACCTGCGGTGTGTAGGCAGGGTTCGCCCTGGGTCGTGCGACTCTGCTATGGGATGGATACTCAGCGTCTGGGCTTGCTGATGGGTATCCACGGATGGTTCGGCCTCCTCGGCTGCGGGCATCCTCAAAGTTGGCCACCAGGTGCGTGAGTTCGGGCAGCGTCTTGAAATCCTGGCGGCGGGTGAACATCTGGTACTTGGGCAGCATGTTCTCGTAAATTCGTTCTAATTCTTGCTCGGGTGAGAATCCAGCGCGGCGCATCTGGAGGCGAAGATTCACCAGGTATTCCTTGAACGGCTCATTCACAAGTGAGAGTGGATCTCGTCGTCGAGGCGTTGGTAATAAAAATTCCCTGCGGACTTCTGTCCAGGTGCGTCCCTGCAGATCACTGGTTCGGAACCAGCTCTCCGCTCGGCCAGTCAGGAGGACGGTGATAGCGTGCGGATCCGGTAGGTATCCGCTCGTTCTTCGATGTGCTCCACGAAGCTGAGCGGATCGGAGGTGCTGTCGAAAAACAAAAAAGGAAAAAAAAAAAAAAAAAAAAAAAAAAAAAAAAAGACAATCCCCATTTGGTCGCCTTGTCGACCACCATCGCGTAGACGCCTGCGTCGGACTGGGATGCACTGGCGCGTGCGGTGCCCTCTGATTTTCCTCGCGTCCCTGGGGACGGGGAAGTGCTGCGTGGTACTGCCAGCGTGTGGTTGCTGCTGGGTACCTTCTCCTGGTAGGGGGTATCGGCGACGGTGGTTTGACGTCTCCGGAAGGGGTGTATTTGCGTTCAAACTCCCCAGCCGGATCAGTGTGTCCTCGGAGTGTTCCGGTTGCCTGGCGAACGCGTACAGTCGGGCTCGTTGTTCCTCGACCGTGCCGTTCTGCTCCAGGCCGAGATCGAGAAGGATAGCCTCTAGCTCGTGCTTCTTCCTGTATGAGATCCAAGAGACTCCCATGTTGCTTGGTGTGTCCTGGTTGTGCTTGTAGTCCGGTGTATCCTTGTAGTCCTGTGTATCCTTGAGTGTCCTGGCTAGGGTGCAGGAGTGGCGATGTGTGTCCTTGGATTGTTGAGTATCCTTGAAGTCCTGGGGAGGATGTGAATCCTTGTTATCCTTGAGGGGTGTGTATCCTTGTGGTCCTTGAGGGGATGTGTACCCTTGATGTCCTTGAGTGATCCTGATGATCGACTGTCTTCCTGTAGCTCCGTTGATTGACTGTCCTCTGCGTGTGTCGGCTGGCGACCTAAATCTACGTGCTCGTGTGTGTGTGTACTAGCTTGCCTTTATTTCGTGTCGTGTGCGACGACATTCCTCGTGTACTCTGATTTGCCAAACATTTTGACTGTACTTTCTTGCCTTTATTTCGTGTCGTGTGCGACGACATTTTTCCTCTCTCTTATGACTGTACTTGCTTGCGTTTGTTTTAAGTCGTGTGCGACGACTTTTCCCTCTCTCATAGTTTCTCTCCTCGCAGTTACTTTTCCCCTATTCCTCTTTCGTTGAAAAAACGTGTTTCCCTAGCTTTCGTCCCTAACCTCAAATTTTGACCTAATTTCGACCTGATTTTTCTTCTGGTGGTTCTTTACGCCACGAAGGATGAAAATGTCCTTTCATTATCCTGCCTAGTCCCTGTTCGGGTGCCATCTGTAAGGATGCTAATCACGGGCCAGGATAAATACTCAGTCTATCCAGGGTCCCCTACAGAAATATTTATTATTTACGGAGACAGGCAGGACAAGGAGGCGGGTTTCCTAATTAGGTACGGGATTCGAGGGGGAAATCGGGGTTCTCTGCGTATCGTGATCACGCCGTCGGCCCGTCAACCGGGCGGCCAGCGGACCTGTTCCGCTCCTGGTCACTTGACTTGCTCGTTCGGGATCCCAAAGACTGCTCGACTTACTCCTTCTGGAGCTAAAATGCGACTCCTGATCGGCGAACAGCGGAGGCTGTTCGAAGCCCTCGCTGCTGCCGTCGACCGCGGCAGCGGCCCTTTCGCTGCCTCCGTGTAGTTTTTCTCGACGTCCTGCTTCCTCTGCAGCTTCCCTGCACCCGCGTCTCTCTGCGCGATCGTGCTCCTCTCCTCTCCTGCGTGGCTCTCCGGGTTCGGCCGTCGGTTCTGCCGGTAGTCGGCTGCCGAGAGCGCAAGTTTGAGAGATGGTGTCGGCAATGTTGCCGGTGGTGATGTTGCTGGCGATGATGTCGGCAATGTTGCCGAACTGTGATGCTGGCGATGTCGGCAATGTTGCCGATGGGTGTTGCTGGCGTGGCCGGGGATGATGTCGATGATCTAGTGCCCTCCATGGGTCTTTCTAGCTCCTTAACCTAAATCCCTAACTCTTATCTTATAAACTATTCCTAACTTATATGTACATACGGTAGGGGGGGGCCTTGTGAGGGTTACCTCACAATATATACACATATGGTTTTTCATATGAATTTGGGGATGAGATTTTTAGACATTGGCATAGATGATTTCACTAAGGGCATCCTCGCAAAAGCCATCGATTAAAACTTCGCCTCCACTTCAGCTACGAAATCATTTAAGCCTTATACGAATTTTCTCCATACAAAATTCGTATAAGCCACCGACGACTCGTTCGATGAAACGGACAAAAAGTTCATCGAGAGCGACATGTATCCCGAAAACGGCGGTGCCATATAAAATGTCTCTATAAACTCGCGCCGCCGCGGCTACGGCTGCTACCCCCGCAGTCGTCGGTGCGGCTTCGCACACTTCATCGACGACAAAGCAATTTTGGAACTGCAGGGAGCAATTTTGGAACTGCAGGGTATGTATGAATAATATTAGAATTTTAATTGTTAGTGCATGCGAAAATCAAATTTTTTGGTTAAAATGCTCACTATCTATCGATTTTTTCACACAAATGCAAAAAGTTTAAAAATTGGCCGAACACAATTTTACAACACGCCACAGATTAACTTTCAACTTTTTAAACTCTATACCTGGCTGGCCGATTCGGTCTGATCAGCGACTTCGCTTTTCGGATCCATATGCCTGGCGACGTAGGGTGCGCAAATTGCGTAATCGGTTCTCCAGCGGCGACGAAAAATATAATCCAAACATTAAAAAATATTAAAATAAAGCTTAGCAGGAGCCTTTAAGAATAGCTTACTGGGCGCCAATTCGTTTCAAAATTTTCTTTTGCAAAATTGTGCCGCGCCTGATGATGGATCTCTGTGATTTTTGAAGAACTTGCCATTTTTGATGGCACCAAGTGTTGCCAAGTGTGTAAAGTCCGACACCTTGTTGGCCTCATAATGAGCCAAACCGGCGCAGGACATGGTGAAATTGGAGGTCTTTTTCACAATAAGCCGCTTATCTCGAACGTTTAACTTTGTTTTTTGGAGCCCTTTATAAATTTTTTATAGTTTTCATTATATGCCAATAAATTGTGTATAACATTTCGCGATTTTTTTATTTTCGTGGCGATTTGGCTTACATTAAGGCCTGAGTCCAAATTTGCATAAATTTTCCCCCATAATTTTTCCATCTTTATCCTGGAGTGTCGATCCAAGGCCTATTTTAGTTTCATTTGATTAATAATAGCATCAGATTGAAAAAAAAGTTTTAAACAAACTGCGCACTGTACACAAGTGATTACTGACAAGTGTCCTATCCAAATAAAACGATTTTCAGCATGCAAAAAACCATGCAGCAGTGCAAAAACTCAAATAAAAATAACTGCATTATAGAATCACATTAGAACAGAGATCATAACTTTAAAAAAAATTTAGCTTTCAACGATTTTTGTCTTCGCTACGAGCGATTAACCATAAAAGTTGCTAGGTGTCCTATCCAAATGAAACGAACTGTATGATAAAGTTATGCTATTTTGACAAAATTTAATCCTAAATTCAACAGTAGCTAAAAAACTCCATCTGGAAAAAATCAAGTCGATATGATCAAAAACAACGGCGTGAGAATTTTTTATTTCATTCTGTCGTATGGGAGCTATCCGATATAGTCGCGGGTCCGGCCCGTTCCAACTTATATACTGCGGGCAACAACTACATAACTTTTGGGAAAGTCAAGCAAGATAGCTTTAAAACTGAGAGACTTGTTTACATTGAAACAGACAGGAGGGCAGAGGTTTGCTCTGTAAGGGTATAAAAATCGTCATTGCTTTGATGTTGTTAAGCATTTATGCATTTTGCTTGGCATGATATGAGAGATTGAGAAGTTGTTTTTATAAATATCAGACTACGGTGTCATGGAAATTAGAAAATTAGTTATGTACTTTTGGGGACGTTGTACGAATCGAACTAACAATAGGAAACAAGTCTTATAGATAAGATTTAGGCTCGTCGAAGCGAGCTTTACATGTTAAAGTTATCAGAGTGCTTTAACTAGAAGTATATTCAAATCAACGTCTTTTTTTGTTATCATCCCGTTTTTTAAATTTTAACATGTTTATATTTAATATTAATATTAATATATTAAAAATATGTAATTAAAATACTTGTTACTTACTTTGACAACGCTGTGAACCGCTTGTGAATATAGCATGCTTACTTCAACAGGATCTTGAGATAGTTCATGAGTTGATTTAAATAATCTTTTTTAAAAACAAATCGATTTTCTCCTGATGGTGGTCCATTTACAAGCCTTTTCAAGGCATTACTGGAAGCTTGTTTATGTTCCCATGCAGAAATTACATCATACAAATAATCAAAACTTTTTATGTGTTCTTCACCATCCGGCCGTGACTGATAAATTGCCCACCCATCAGTTGAAGTTAAGTTTAGTTTTTCAGCGAGTTTTTGCACAGCGTCACCTGCAGTGTCAGTCGGATGAACATCAATAGCTTTAGTACGTGCGTCCAAAAAAAAAATCTGCACACTATAGTTCCAAGACGTCGCATAGCCTATAAAAGAAAATTTTAATAGATCAGTTATTTCGTATTTAATTATCAACCAATTTATTTGCATGCCCCAAGCAACAACCGGAGCTTAGCAGCTGTCTTTCCTCGACATCAAAGTTAAGGAAAATGCTTGTTTTTTTCGTTCAGATCGTAACAGTAATACTATATGTGGTGGTCGAAAAATCGATATATAATATATATTTACAGAATTGTAATTATAAAGGTGTTTTATATCAAATTTTAAGTTACTTATTAACTTTTATGAAAATGATAATATATATACAATATATAATATAATATTATATTATATATAAAATAATATTATATATAAAAACGAGAGAGTTTCTCGACTGTAGAATTAAAAAACAAGCCTCTCCCGATGTAATTAAAGTTGTTCATGATTCACTTATTTATAGTCTTTATTTTGTATTAAATGCACATATACATATATATGTGAATTTCCAAGGAGTAATATAAATTAAATTTTAAAAGAACTTATGATATTATGTAGAGAGGGCTTGTTCGAGCTCCCATCCGCAAAGTAGACAGTTTTCTTTTCTTAGTCGCTTATTGATATTTTGCATAAATAGTTATGTTAATATCGTGTTAAGCCACACAGTACCTGGATAAAAATGCAGCCCTTAAGATCGGGTGGCGCCATTTAGGTTTGAAACTAAAATAAGACCGACTGGCAACCTGAGGATCAGCTGACCCTCTTGACAAATCGTCTGTCAGTGTCATTTCTTTGAAAGAGAGGCTTATTTCCTGCTTCGGCTGACTTTAAAATCCTACGGCACCAAATCAAGTCTTTTCCATTTGACTGCCCTCGAGACCAGATGTCTCAAGTTTAGAAAAAAAGGTGACTACCAACAGCAAACATTTGTTAGTTTTATTTTTTTCATAACCTCCCATGTCTAACTAAAATAACTTTAATCAAGCTTAAAGCTTAGAGAGAAAAAAAGTGCATACCGGCACACGATCACCTGTGGGAGAGCAGTTACTGGATTTTTGATAGAAAAAGAAAAAATAGAATTATTGTCCACTGCCACGTGCCAGGACCAAACCAGGGTAACTATTAATTATATTTTTTTCACCCAAACCAAGTGGTCCTCATTTCTTTTGTATTCCGACCCAAAACTAAATACAGGCTTGGCAGCGGAGTAGCAGTGGCGAGCATCCAGATTTTGTACGACGAAGAAAAATTATCAGCAAGTGGGAAAATGAAGATAAAATAAGTGAAAAAATTTATAAATAAGTGGAAATAAAAATAGCCAAAAATCCAGGCTTAAAAATAGTGTTAAAAAGTATGGTTAGAAAATCCCCCCAAAGTTAACCTAAAACCTGAAAACATAATTATAAAATAATTATAAAAATATATACATATATATATATATAGAAATCGATATGGAGCTATTCTGAAGTTAAGAAAAATAGAGACCCGGGAAATAATTAGTATTTTGTGGTTCCCGACACACTGGAAAAAAAATGAGAACAAACATAAAGATAATGAGCTTTCCTAGCGAGGGCGGTTACAAAAGTTTCACAGACACTGAAAATTAACGCTTTTTCTTTTTTTCTTATTGTTTAAAATTTTGTTTAATTGTCTTGGTTAGAATATAAAATAAAAATAAGAAGCATGAATTTTGGTCTATCATTAAAAAAAATAAAATAAAACAAGATTAATATGAAATTATTTATATTTTTTGCCTGAATTAGTTAAATTTTTTTTGTGAATAAATTACTTAAGCATTGGTTTTTTTTTGTTTTCTCCTTTCTAAAGAAGAGAAATAATAATAACAACAAAAAAATCTCATGTTATATGAAATGACTAGTTTTTTTTCCCCTTTGTGTATAAATAATACAAATTAGAAAAATGAATTTTAACTAATTATCTCCTAACTGGGGATCATTGTTGTAAAAGGGTCGAGGTAATTTGTGATCATTCCGAGGCATCTTATCGATGAAATGTAGGACCAATAAGATCAAGGTAGGGTGGGCACTTCGCAACTTTTTGCGTAGTGAAAGGAATGATGTAATTTTTTTTGGCAAGTGTACTCCTTTCTTTTTTTTTCATATTCTTTCCCTTCTTAAGCCTTCTTCGTTTGCTATCCCCTTTTCTAAAAATAAAGTAGGCGAATTTAGTTATTTTTGACTAGCATTTGAGCAATAAACGTTGCGGTTTTTTTTCTGTTAACCCACCCCAAGCCGACCAGACTAAATAAAATAAAAGCCGAGGATACCGCGTGCTCCGCTTATACGTTTTCATTACCATCAGCTCATTCTCCAATAGATAGTTACATGCTACAGAAATAATTATGGCGCCCAACGTGGGGCCCGACTTGTCAGTCTACAGAAATAATTATGTGGAGCCTGAATTGGCAGTCTACAGAAATAATCCAACCTGTGGGCCTGACTTTGACGGCATCAGTATGAGGTCTGACCTTGGCAGCCTCGTCATGTAATAAAATAGTCAGCTATATCCAAACAGTTTGTCAAACTGAAGACTATAAGCATGGTCAGAGTTTTCCATTTTCTTTTCTTTCTCTAGCCTTAAAGTTTTGGTTTAATCCTTGACCTCAGCTAATAAGTAGCTGGATTAGCTTTTCTTTGATGATAAGGATCTACCATAGCTACAATATTCGCGAATGGTGATAAGATTCAATATTCATTACTTTGTCTATTTTAAACTATTTGCACCTCGACCTCAGTTTAATAAGGATCTGGATTAGCGAACCACAAATTTAGGAACGTTCCAGACGTTAAAGAATTTGATGCGTCATAACCAAGAGAGCAGCTAAATCAAGTGGGTACCTGCGATTGGATGTGGATATTATAGAAGATTTCTATAACCTGCCACGCAGCACAACCAACACATTGAATAGGCTTTTTGAAGTATACCTGGATTAGATTTGCTTTGATGATAAGGGTCTACAGTTGTTTCAATATTCTCTAAAGGTGCTTAGCCTTTTGCCAAAACGCTTATTTTGATGCAAACGGATTTCTTGCCAGTAAATGTAGACTTGGATCTAGATAACTATCAGTGGCAGTAGCGTTTGTGACGAAGTCACACACTTAGCCCAAAACAACAGTAGCCCTGCCACCCCGCCGAAACTAGGACCCAAGTAAACAATAGTCCACCGACACTGCAACGACCACCCTCCCGATCGCTACGATCTGGCAACCGAGAAAAACAACGATCGGCATGCGACGTCAACCGAAGGGCCGGCGCAAGCAAGTCGGCCGAGCAGCGAAGCCTGCCCGAGGCTTGCGAAAAAGGGCAACAGAAAACGATCGGGGGGTCGATTTCAGAAGTTCACAGTGAGCAGGTCGCGAACAGTAAACGAGCCAAAGACATAGCGCGAGTGACACAAGTGAAAAATTACCAGCGACAAAGAACAACGGCACCGGCAGCGACGCAGTGGACATATTGTTACGCATTATAAGATACAAACATACAAATCACAGAAACACAAAACTTGCAATAACCCGGCATTTACCTTAATAAATACACACATACCTACACAAAACCCACCCTACACATCTGTCTATTTTATGGGGTAAGCCACACACTCTCGCACACACCCACGCACCCACACACACACTCGCTGGAGTGCGTGGGAAAGTCGTTGCGTACCGGACGTGTTTTATATTCGAGTGCGCGAAAACAAGTTTCCTACGTTGTGATCCGCGTGTGCGACATCTAAAATTGAAGAGAAGGGGTTGTAGCGACCCATAGTTGTGGAAGGATAAACATACCAGTGTGCGGAGGTCTTCCCTGGACCCCAGAATCTCTCTGGCTCCAGTAGCGTCGGCTCGGCACTGGGACGAAGGGGTGATACCCCCCTGCAGGTGAGTGAAAGCCCTTTTCACTCAATTTTCCGAATTGGGTGATTAGGTCTGCCATCTTCGTGGTCAGTTGACTGATCAGCTGCGCTTCAGAGTTGCCAACTCTCAGCGAGCGTAAGCCGCGCTGTCAACCTGCGGGGAAAGCTCTAAAGAAAGCTCTCCTCCGACCCAAAGTGTAGCATACACATAGGCGTTAGGTAGAAACAGGAAAGGAATTATTAAGAATGGCGAGCCGTGGCCCTGGCCCGGTTAGCATAATTAAGGAGACGACTCAGGGCAAGGCCGAAAGCGCAGCAGCTAAAGACTCTGCTGCGCCGGAAGCTGACCCATTTAGGAAGAGTAGCAAGATGGGGAGATCACCGACTAAGGTGCCAAAATCTCCACCCATTTTCTCGCCTGCAGTAGAGCAGGAACAGGCGGATACGGCGCATGCTGGAGGTCCCACAGAAGCGGGGGTCTTTCACTTCAGCGCTATTTCCGAGCAGGGACTGGCTCCGCTTATCGCCAATGGCGACATAGACGGAGTCATTGGCGCGATCGGGGCGAAATTGTCCCAATTAAACAGCATGATGTTAGGCAAGACGAGGGTGATGGTGACGATTCCTATGAAGGAACTCGTGCAGCAGGTCATCGCCCTCCAAAAATCAGCAGTTAGGATTCGGGAGACGGCTCCAAAGATTCCCAGCGAGCAAAATCCCACTCCCAAGAGGTCACGTGAGAGCCCTAGAGCCGGTAAGCTCTCAGCGCCAAAAAGGCAGAAGGTGCCGCAACCTTGCGGCACAAGCAATAAGGTGGTGAAAGCCATCACCTACGCAAGTGCTGCGAAGCAAATTTCCGGCCCCCTTCCGCCGAGCCATGCGGACAAAGGCACGAAGGAGGGTGCGGAGAAATGGTCGACGGTTACCAAAAAACCGAAGAAGCAGCAGCCAAAAAAGCAGCAGCAGCATAGAAAACTCCCTCCACGCACAGACGCACTAGTCGTCAAGTGTGGCGAGGGCATGCAGTATGCCGACGTGTTAAAGTTGGTGAAAAATAACCCAACTTTACAGCAACACAAAGATTGCGTCAAAGGCATACGGATGACTGGTAGGGGCGAGCTTCTCATCAAAATGATGAAAACGGCCGACCCAGCCACATCCAAATTACAGAAGGCGATG